ATTTTTCCACTGAATCAACATGCCACCAATTCAACCCTCCAGGCCAACAAGACAAGTGACACCATCAATATAAAATTTCATAAAAATACAAAAGAATAAAGATCTAGTAATCCACTGAATAGGTCAGATGGATCGCAGTTCAATCATTTGGGTCAATGAGCCATTGACTAAGTCAATGGGTTTTTGTAACATAGTGGGTTAGAGTTTGACTCAAACCGGGATTTTGTAGTCAAATGCTTTATTAACTACTACATATCTTATCAATAGCATTCCATCTAGAGTATTAGATTTCAAAGTTCCTTATCAAATCTTGCTTCATACTTGTCCTATGTTAAGTTTGAGTACCGAAGCCTTTGACTGTGTGCTTCACTCATTTTCTGGGTTCTGTTCAGTCTAATCTTGACTGAAGGCCGTTCATTGTATTTCCCTTAGGATACTCCACTACTCAAAAAGGCTATAAGGTTTATGATCTTGTCTCCAAGAAAACTTGTCTCAACAGTTACTTTTCGGGAATTGGTCACTTCATGACTTCTTTTTAGGGGGAGAATACTGGTGAAGAGCAACAATGCAAAGCGGACTGATAGAACAGTCCAAATAATGCATGGAGATTGATCTTGTGTTCTTATTATACCAAGGGAATAGAAAATTAAACAAGAAAATCCTGCTATATGGAAAATACAAACTGCAGAAAAAATTGTTAAATATTCAAATGCCATAGAATAAAGAAATATGGTGTGCATCAACTCTACAAATCTCATTCCAAATAGTTTAGATATTGTCCTCTAGGGTTTGACAAAACTGAGACTGATTTTCTTCTATTTTTGGAGTAAAAAAAATCCCAAAAGAGATATAAGTCCTCAATCTCCTAGTCTTGAAATTCAAATGCAAAATTAATCAAGGTCTATCTTATGCTATTATTTTTGTTGAAGAAGACGAAAATGGAAAGAGAAGGAGAAAAGAGAGAACAAACAATTATGGGTATGTCATGCAACTGCCCACTTTTATATTTTATTAGATCCAAAAAATTGGGGAAAAGACATACATACCCCTCTACAATTGCATAATAACTGGATAGCCAAAAGTAAGCAGAAATAGCTAATCTTCCCTTACATAGAGAGCTCAACAGAGAGTGGTGTAGCCAGGAATTTTATCTAGTGGGGTCATTCAATAACTTGTATCACAAATATTTTCATACATCAAATGATTTGACTAAATGTAATAATAATAATTTAAAATCTTCAAAGTACAAATACAAGGAAAAAGGTTTAGTACTTTAATCACACTACTTCAACAAAGAAAATGTCATTTTACAATTGCCCTTGACAATTGTATATCTTAAAACACAAAGTCTAGATATAAGTAGAAAAGATACTTATAAAAATATAATTCTGGAAGGAAATTAATGTGGTGAGTTCTTGAATTTAACTTCACAACAAGTCTTGATATCTAATAGGGCTATTCAATTGGAATGGTAGCTTTCCTTTTAAGATTTGTCTTTTGTGTTTTTTATCCAACAGTTAAATCCCATGTTTCTAGTCTCTTGATAGGCTAACCCACTCTTTAATATTTAAGTTACCAAATTGACCCACCCCTTTAAATTTTCATTCAATTTCATTGGAGAATGTGGGGTCAATATGGAAAAATGGCTCTTTGACCCATCTACTTTTAGGTGGCCAAGAAAAAGGGGGAGGATGCTTTGGAGATGTACAAGAGCTGCAGTATTATGGTGGATTTGGGAAGAAAGAAACCTACGAATCTTCAAAGAGAAGATCAGAAGCATATAAGTTGTGTATGAAGACATTATGGTGACAGTAGTGCATTGGGTAAAAACAGTGGACTTGTTCTCTGATTTTACAGTTGATGATGTTCTAGAAACTGGGAGGTGATTGCAGGTTCCTCTTCCTCCAAGAAAAAAACTTGTGCAACAGTGGACTCCACCATCAGCTGACTTTCTTAAGTTGAATGTCGATGGCAGAAGTTTTGGAAATGGCAGTTCTAGAATAGGGGGAGTCATAAGAAATGGCAGGGGAGAAATTTTGGGGATGTTCTCAGGGCCAATTGGGGATGGGGACTCCACTAGAGCCAAATTAGAGGCTGTCATGTATGGTTTACAAAAAGCTATGGAGTTAGGTATTCTTAACGTGATAATTGAAGGGGATTCAAAAGGGATTCTGAGCTGGTTGAGAAAAGAAGAAAAGAGTCCTTGGTGGTTCAGAAATGAAATTAAAAATTTCAGAATAATGACAAAAAATATGCAAATCTTAGTACAATGGGTTCCAAGGTCGTATAACAGTCTAGCAGATCAACTAGCAAAACAAGGGATTAGAAGAGAACATGTTTTCTGGGCACAGTTGTAATCTTAAAAGCAAATTCCTGGGGTTATTACTGTTCTATTTCTTTGATTGTTATTTGGGTAGCCAAGGCTACTCACTGCTGAAAATTGTGTTTTTCTTTATTAATGTAAGCATCTTCACTTAACTGATAAAAAAATGGAAAAATGGCTCAAAATAACGCCTATACTAATTTTTTTTTTTCAACTTCAATGGGGTCAATTGACCCCACTCTCATATATGTAGGTCTGCCCTTGTTAACAGGGTACAATCAGATTGAGAGGCAAAAATACTCTTGCATTCTCAACTCTCCCTCTCAAACTGAGCATAGTTATCTATAATGCTCAGCTTGCTTAAATTTTTGTCAAGTTTTGGCTTGGGAACACCCTTAGTAAGGCAATAAGCCAATTAATGACAACAACGAAATCCTCAAAGAACTCCCTTTGACTGCGAAAGCAACTAGTTCCCCCTTAAAATATTCACCGCATTTCTTTTACTTTCTTTAGACTGTACCAAAGCATATACTTCCTGGACTAAAGGTTACTTCCTAGATGTACCTTGATAAACTTATACACTGGGTTCAACTCTAAAAGGAAAACAAACATCTCCTGCTGGGAAACAAGAGACTTGTAAGCTTTGGCATCCACATCACACTTCTAGCTCACACTCTTATAATGGTTTTACTCCTTCCAAATTGAAGTCAAATCAGAATAATAAACTGAAAGACTCCTCTCCATGGTTTCAAATGTAACCAAATGTCGCTAAAGTCGCCCGACATATGTCGATGTCGAGGCTCTCCGACATGAAAATGGATGGTAATATAAAAATTACATTATTTCGATCGACACTTCCTATATTTCGAAAATGTCGACCAAATCGGTCCAAATAACCAAAAAAAATGCAGTTTTTCCTATTATGTCTGTAGGATGTCGACTAATTTCGAAAAGATGTCGACTAATTTCGACAAGATGTCGACTAATGTACATTAATAATATTTCCATTAATAATTTCTATTTAATATTTCAAACAAAATATTTATAAAAAAGAA